CTCTCTCTCTCTCTCTCTCTCTCTCTCTATTATATACATGTCTCTATTATATCCCTACCCCTTTCCCTCTCTCCTCCCCTCTCCTTTCTCCTCTCTCCCTCCCTCCCTCAGCTTCTTCCTCCCCTTCACAAGCCTTATTTATCCTCAACATTAACCCCTTACTCTGATATGTTATAGATTCGCACCAAAGCTCTCCTCTGTTTCATCCTTATTCCGTCATCATTTATTTCTCCTTGTCGGTACCCTTTTCAATTGATGATCAATGCTGAACTCTTCACACATCAAATTCCTTATCTTAGTTAGTTGTTATGATATTTCAAAACGAAAATATATTATATAACTTTTCAATGTGGGAAAAAAGGCATTAAGAAACCCTATACTAGGTCGTTGTCATATTTCAATAGGAAATTGTTTCTCCTACATTCAGGTCCAGTCCAGCAGAGAGAAGTTCAAAAGACAGAGCGTCTCAGCCTGGAGAAAGAATAAGGAAGAGTGCCAGAGAGTCTCACCACACGGAGTAAGTCCCAGGAGGGTGGTATCCCGGTATTTAGCGCCCCCTCTAGAGCAACGTTTGGTTTTTTCTCTTCTAATTGTACTAAGTCCTAAACTCTGTGCCATGCTCGGGAACCAATTTCTTCTGAATCTAGGGAACTCATCTTGAACAAATCAAACACATGAAGTTATTTCGAATACAACATTCTGAAAACAAACAAACTAACAAACAAGACAAAGCAACCTCTTGATGTTCAGTAATACGAGCCACGTTGATAGACCAGTATCATGTGGACCACTTTGATGCGAATGGCTTGGTCCTAATCCCCAGCAGGAAGCTCTTGTACTTTGTAAGGGTGGGCCGACTTCGAGAACTTTCGACTCCGGACATTTTTGGGTTCGAGTTCGTCGAATTCGACTCCGAATCCGAATTCAGGTCAAGATAGCAGCCAATCAAATTTGAAGAAAGGCAAGGTCAATTCGGTCGGATTCGTGTCAAGTCGTTCACCCTCCAGCCGTCGAGTCGAACACGCTGTAGAGAATCCCGACGCCACGGACCGGTGCAGATAAAGGGGGCGGGGAAGGGGAAGGGGTAGGCACGGGGAAGAGGTCAAAGAGGTCGGGATTGAGGTAGGCAATGTTTTAAATGTTTCTTGGGTGCAGTTTTGCGTAATATTATTTACAGTTTTAAACAAATTAAATATGTTTTCGCTGCTTGTGTTCCACTATCCCCTTGGCTGCCCTAGTTCGGGAATTCGTTTTCGGACTCGGCCTCCTGCCCAATGTTCGAGCTCCGACTCCGACTCCACGAATTCGTCGTATTCCGAACCTCGACTCGACTTCGCCCATGCTTAGTACTTTGGGTGTTTGAGGAGTCTTCAGAGCTTTCCAGTTAAGTCTTATCGAAAATGGGAATTAAATTCATGAACTTCGGGCTATAAATAATCTCAGTGTTGACAAGAACGTTTAACTTGAACCCGTACCATACAATCAGTTTTAGGTTTTGTCAGAGTGCTGTGGCACTTGCAACTGCATATTGTTTATGACCGCGCGAATACAATTAGTAAACTGAAGAACAAGTATCTTCTTCCCTCCCTATTTTAGCCCCCCCCCCCCTCCCCCTTTGTCTTCCATGGCTATCCTAATTACAACACGATAATTGCCGAATTATGCAAGTGCAAAACATTACATAATATATAATGTTGATGGAAATCTTATCTTTCATCTTCAGTACCACACCAACAGAGAGACATTCAAAAGCCAGATCATCATGGAAAGAGTAAGTCATTGGAGAACGCTCACCAAGTGTGTTGAGCCTTACTGGAGTAACGTTATTGATTTCTATCAGCCTTATAGGTCCCATCAGGGAAGCCTAACTTTTCCTCATTGAAATGACTATTTCATGACATAATCAATTTTTAAAATCCCATCATCATCATCATCATCGTCGTCGTCGTCGTTGTCGTCATTGTTGCTATTGGAGATTTTTTAGTATTGGAAGTTTTATGTCATTTAAAATATGTTCAATGTTTCGCGTAATGGGCCTCTCCATCTTTTCTTTCTATGGCTTTCTTTCCCCATGTGTTTACTTTTTAAGGCGCACGGAATACAAAAGTAATTACAAGTTCAGATTTTGGTAAAACTGTTGTTTTATTTCTTTGTTCTCTTTTAAAGCAGCAGTGGTCAGGGTGTTCTCCGAATGTAGCTCAGGCAAACACACTTAGATATGGCAAAACTTACCAAATATCTTTCAACTATAGAAAAACAACAGGGCTAATAGAGCCATCATTGACACCAAGAAAATGCTAAATAGAAAACCCCAAAAGCACATATCTATTTCACCCATAATCCACAAGGATGAGCCAAGAAAATCGGACGCCATTTTTGTTCCCTCGTCTTCCCTTCCTATTTTAGC